GCAGACCCCAGCTCTGTGTGCTCAGGCAGCAGAGCCGGTTAACCGCTCTTTCATTCCTTAAGGATGGCATCTCCCAGTTTATATTGAATCATCTATTCAACAAGGCGATCTGGCTTCGACTGCCACATACTTAAAAGCAAGATTTTGATTAGTAGTGGGAGCGAGAAAGGGAATTAGAAAGCATGACAAAGTTTTCAATGGAGAGACAAAGGAAATAAAGGGCTAGCTTTGTTTGGTTTATTAAATTTCAAGGGCTTTGCCTGCCAGTTTGAAAAATGCATGATATCACCAGTGTGTTTATTAAAAGTGCTGCTTTAAATTGCAGATTGAGCAAGTGTGAATTCCCTTTGGTAGCTGTAGGTTATTGACTAACAATTATATGCAATTTTTGAATGAAAGGAGGGGGAAAGAATGGCAGGACTATGGCTCTAAAGCTGCTGCTAAATGTATGACAGTAAAATGTCCAGATTCACATGGACGCAACATGTCCAGGGTCCCTTGCATTTTAATTGTTCGAGTCTTTTAAAATGATGTTCAGATCAAAGAGTAAAATAGCATAAACTTTGCACAAGGCTTACTTGACAATTTATTACCGGATTTAGGAAGGGGTGGGGAACCTGCCAGAGCATAGGGCTGCTTGCTAGCTAACTTGAAAAATGCACTTGTTTCAGCACAGAAATAACAAATCTGTTTCTGATTCCAGACATTATATTCCAAATGCTGCCAAGAAAAGAATCTAAGGAATTCTTTTACATACACAACATACACAAGACAACTGGAGAGAGGCCTGTGATCTGCTCCAGGGTGCACAACAGGGAAGGAGAGAGTTGAGTTTTTAGTATGAACTGCCCTCGCGGGAGCAGAAGCACATGCCTGAGATAGTTCTGAGCTGTAATCTGCAACATAACTCTGCTATTATTAGACAACCTAAAGGCTTTCCTAAATCTGTAACTTGTGAAGCAGAAAAGGATGTGGACGGGACCCTGCCATGCTGAGCATGCAGGCAGCTGGGAGACACCCACTCCACACAATTCACCGCTTTTCCAATGAAACTAGATTTCTAGCCCTTGGACGATACATAAGACCTAAGAAAGGGAAAGAATCTAGTCCAACACCAAAGCCAGGTTTAAATCTCTGTAGAGAATGCTGGCTGGGTAAAATCCAATACTAAATTCAGAAAGTTAAGGTCCATGATGTTCACAAAGCATGCTAAAATTATTCTTAGAACACAAAAGGACTTATACATTAATCCTTTCATAAGAGCAATGGTTTTAAACTTAACTACACAAGGGTATCCTGCTTTACAACTTAATAAACTATGTAATGATCAAGCCAATGATTCAAAAGGATGTAGTTTCGCATGCATCACTTCTGTTTTATTAATACGGCAGAGACTCAGCAACAGAATCCACTTTGGAGAGAAAGATCATAAGAGAATTCTGAAAGACTGAGTCATCCAGCAGACTGAGCCATCTAATGCAACTGTTTAAATTTTTGGCTCACACTGAGTTGACTGCAGTCAACTGAGTTCAATTTTGTTTTTTGTTTTTCCCCTTCTCAGCAGGATGAGTTCATAAAGGAAACTGGATCATTTATTGGAAATAAAAAGGCACCATTTTCTACTTTTGCATGACGGATCATAGTGAGTGTATTTTTAACCCTTGTACCTACACATACAAACCTGTCTTAAACTCGCATTGCCGTAAGTTACAAACGAATCATCAAAGCAGCTACACTGAACAGTCAGTCATTCTTACATTCTGTCCATTAACTACATCTCTTATCAATGCTATTTTACAATATTATTTTACATAATGGGGTGAAGTGTTCCCCCAAAACCCACATCTACTGGGAACCTCAGAATGTGATTTTATTTGAAAACAGTCTTTGCAGATGTAATCAGTTAAAATGAGGTCATATATTGGAGTAGAGTGGACCCTAAATCCAGTGACTGCTGTCCTTATAATATAGAGCAAACCACCTGACACAGAGATGCAGGGAGACACACAGGAAAGACAGAGCCAGAGGTGCTGCCACAGGCCAAAACCACCTGCGGCCACAGAAACTGGAAGAAGCACGGGAAGATCCTCCCCTAAAGGCTTCAGAGGGAGCATGACCTCGCCAACACCTTGATTTTGAACTTTAGCCTTTAGAACTGGGAGAGAAGAAATTTCTGTTGTAAACTACTCACTTAGTGGTCATTTGTTACAGCAGCTCTAGGAAACTAATACGGATTTGTTTATCCACTAACCCGTGCCAGTTGGCCAGTTTGCTTACCAGTCTACAAGAAGATTACTACAGGAAATGAGATGAAACGTCTAAGTACTTTTACAGCTGTTTGACATTGTGGCGATATCCCACAGCACAGGATTTCATGTTTTACAAAATATCTGTCTGTGATGGATTGGAAATTAAAAGTAGAAAATAGTCTTCACAGTTAGAGGTGCACTATAAAGACCATTAATATTTATAAAGTTGAACTGGTGTACTGCAATTAAGAAACTTACCATCTGAATCATCTCAGAGAAACTTAATTAGGTTCCATGCAGTTTTAGTGGTAAAAATATTTCATTCTAATTTTTTGAACAAAGTTATCTGTGAATAGTATTCGATATATGCATGGTAGTTTGCCATTGACCATGTTATTTGATTAGCCAGAAACTCACTTCCCAGACCATGTTAGGTCATGGATTATATAAGTGAAGGAACAACACATCATGGCTTTGTTGACCATGGGGACCTTGGCAGAACTTGAGAGAACATCTTCCCAGAGACTGGGAGCTCAGGCGCTGCTCATCCAAAACGAACTTGGGTGGAGTGGGCGTATCTGAGCTACTTTAATGGCAACAGTAGAGAGTGATTTTAACTAAATGAGCTATTATCCTGACAAGAAAGATAAAGGTGACATCTCTCTTTACAAGAAGGCATTTTTTCTAGCACCAAATCAACCAAAAGCTGAGTAGACAAGACTTCAGAAAAAAATAGTCTAAATGGAGGAAAGGAAACCTGCATCAATGTGGGAGGCTGTCTGGTGTGAATGTTTTCTTTTAACATTTAAAGGAAATGCACAGGAACACAATTTAACCCCAAAGAAGGGCAGCCCTGTTTCCTTTAAAGTCAATGCAAATCATAACCGCAGACTCCAAAGCCCTTAGAACCTCAGCTAGCCACAGAAACAGGCCAGTTAATGAAACCTGAAAATGCCTCCAACAGAGGGGAACACACACACAGTGCGAACACAGAGCACCGCAAGGAGCCCTTGATATTCCTGTGTTGAATCTCAATCACCATTACTTTAGCCCGGGGTTGCCTCATCTGTAGCACAAAGGGCAACCTAAAAACCATTACTGTAAACCAAGAGGCTATCCATCTCAGGAAGAGAGCAAAATGTCAACTATTTGTCCTGGCTGCTGGGAGAGCAGAAGTGGGCTTTAAAGGGGACTGTGGATTCCTGGTTAAAACACACACTTCAGCATAAAAGTACTCAGTTGTCATCACATGCCATTCACTTAACTTTCTAAAATGTCCTAAGTTACCACGGAAACTAAGAGTCCGTGAAATTGATAGATTCTTTCATAAAGTGAAATTGCTGTTATGGGAATGGGTGGAGACAAATATGTTGAAGCTGCAAAAGTCATACCCTGCAACAACTCCACACCTGCATTCAATTAAAAATCTAAACGTTAAGCTATCATTAGATCATAATGATTTCAACTGCACGGTGGAAATTACGCTAGGTTAGCAAGCACCCTCATCCAATAAAACTGAATGTTGGCTCTGATAGTTACATTCTTGAGACAACAACTTTTAAAAAAACACACAAAACAACTTTTTTTTTAAAAAAAAATGAGCTCATAACTCATTTAATCTAAAATTATTTTTCAGAAATATTCAAATTCATTTCAGCCTTATGAGCTCCTTAGAAATCTACTGCAACTAGATAATCTCTAAAGTATAAATTAACTAATAATTCTTTTGGAGAGAAAAATGGGATGTTCTTTCTTGTTCTTACCCCCACAGTTTTATCAAATTTGTACCAACTGTATAAACAAATATCCAAAACTCAGCTTAATATTAAAGACTTGGTTGGTTTTTAAGGTGTCAAATAGGGTTAAAACTGTAAAGGTTAAGTCTAGAGAATCCATGTCTTTCCTCATTAATAGACTGAGGACAAAGGAACAGTTAACAAAGCAAGCCAGGACCACTTTATTTCCAAAAATTGAAAAGCTGTCAAGAATTCCACATCAACAGAATGACATACACTGAAAGAAATGAACAAAATAATCTATTCCAGTTCCGAGGAAATTCATTTTCACTCCCCCATTCCAGCAATCTCATAGACAAACACACTCTCAAATGCCTAAATTAATTACATTCTGACAAAAGTTGGAAGAAAAACAGAATTGAAGAAAAAATAATTGCCTCAAAAGAGAAAATACTCCCCCCAAATCAGGAAATCACTACATGGACTCATATATTCACCATGTTACAGTACTTGAGAAGTACTATCATCCATACATAGCTAGAACAAGAACTGTGTCTATAGTAAAATTAACTTCATTCCTGAATTCACACAAGAAAGCTTATAGCAATAGAACTGTTCACCCCTTCTAGTCATTCCTTCCCATGGGCAACTCATCACACGAAAGTTCCCTGATAGGACTTACACTACCACTGTAAACTATTCCTACTTTTATTAAGTTTCCTTTCATTCTAAACTTTTAACCACTTTTGTCCATGACAAAACATACACGAAACACACCCAAAAAGTTCTGGAGAACTATCTTTTCTGTCTAAAAGAAAATTCCATCTCCCCAGCAGGAGGTCTGTCTTCCTGTTTGCAACAGAAAACGAACAATGACTTTTTCACTTTCATACTTCACAAAACTCCCTCAAACTTGGATTTTAATAGAACCAGCCGTGTGATTTGGACTCTGGTGCTAAGTGACCATTTTTCTAAGGAGACCGTCACCACCCACACGGACCCAGAGCCCCCTCACCTTTCAGGCAGAACATTGTGAAGCAGTCCCATGGAGGGGCTGTGCTCTGCGGCGAGCAGCCTGCAGTGCTAGGCACAGCTGTCTCCCAGCCCACCTCCCCAGCGCTCACTGCCAGAGCGCGGGGCAGCCGGCCAGCGCCTGCGATTACAGGAAGCCACTGCCCAATCCCCAGCTTTCTGGCTGAGCCGCTGACACCTCCCTATCTCTCAGGCGCTGTTTCACACCACAGAATCAGCCAGGATCATCTTGGAGAGTGAGGGGCACAGGGGTAAGCAGTCGCGGTTCACGGAGGCCAAGGGAGAACAGTGCAAGGGCAAGTCCATTGGTCTGTCGACCACAGTTTCCATTGCAGCAGATGCGGCAGCTCATGTGATCAAGGCAAAACAGAAATCACTGGATTCCATTTAACTGTTTGCTACTAATTATGACTATTCTTGGACTTCGTTATTCCTTTGCTACCCACACTCTAACTTTTTTACTGATATCAGACAACCCGTACACTGGTCCATAGTTAGCACTAAACCTTAGAGGTGAAACCGCACATAGGTGCCTGGGTCTCCATTAATGGGTGAATGTAGGGGAAGTGCTGGTACCACTTAGGGAGCACCATGAAGTGCTGACTATCGTTGCTATTATCACTACGGTTACTAAACTTGAGGGTGAGGGCAAAAATATGAAGCGCGTTACACTTGTACGGCCCTGTGGTTTTTCAGATGAGGCAACAAAAATAAATATCCCTAAGTTGGCATCACAGCATGTGAATTTCTAACTCTACTGCAGCCACAATCAGATCATGACATTTCTCCCCTCCACTGGAAAGCTACATTCACTCTGGTGAGTTAAGGGCTTTAATGCTTAAAGTTCTCATTTAAAAAAACGGCCTACTAGCATCAGAGTCTACATCACTTTACTTATAAACTCTTTAACAAGGTTAAAAGGCAAGAGAAGGATTTTTTTTCCAGCTCTGAAGAGAAACGGTCTCCTAATGTGGCCTTGGGAGCACCCTGCTTGAAGGGCAGCTGACAGTGAGTGGCCCGCAGCCTCTGGAGTCCCCTGGTCACAGGAAGTGGCCATTGTTCCCAGGGCCCGTTGCTGTGTGCAGGTCTTCCTTTTGACTCCACAGGATGCAGGAAACTGACTCATAGAAACCATCTATCTGTCTGTCTGTGTCCTGGGGTGCTGGCTGCAGCCCTTGCTACATACTACGGATGCTCTATGGCTTTGGATTTGCACATAAGGTGCAGCATATCCTCGCTGGGTATCTGCTCCTCACCTCCCAGTATCCCCAGCAGCACCTGGTTCATGTTTCCTACCATGAGGAAGTCATTGTCCTTGTTGCTATGATTGTAAAGAAATAGCAGAGACCCCGACCATAGCTCACTGGGATGAAAAAAATCCTGCATGTGGAATGACAAACAGTGATATTAGCTCTTAGAACAGAGCTGGAAGGAAGCTTATAGCTCTTCTCACTTGGTAGACTGGTTCAGCGAAGAGGCGATTTGCCCAACTAACCAGTGGCTACATCAAGATCAAAGCCAAATCACCTGACTTGGCTTTTTCCATCTCACCATGAGAACCTCCCACGGATGGCTGGACTCATACCTTGTCCTTGCCTATCTTCTATGCAATGTAGGAATTATGAAGGTACTCCTGGAAGTATTCTTATGGGTTAGATATAACTTTTGAAATTGCACACAGAGAGAAACTCTACAACTTGGATAGTTAAGAATTCTGAACATAGGTTAGTAGACAGGGTTTGAGTGGTTATATGCTCCTAATAGCACTCTATGAATACTCACAATTAAACCTTTTAATATTGACAACTTTCTTGCTGGAAGAACACCGAGTTGGAAAGTAAAGAGAATGTGATTGCAGCTGCATCCGTAGCTTTATCTAGCTGGTCTCTATAAGCCAGTGATGGCGAACCTTTTTAGCTCGGTATGTCAGCATTTTGAAAAACCCTAACTTAACTCTGGTGCCGTGTCACATATAGAAATTTTTTGATATTTGCAACCATAGTAAAACAAAGATTTATATTTTTGATATTTATTTTATATATTTAAATGCCGTTTAACAAAGAAAAATCAACCAAAAAAATGAGTTCACATGTCACCTCTGACACGCGTGTCATAGGTTCGCCATCACTGCTATAAGCAGTTCATGACCTATAAATGTGGGGGCTAAATTAACTCTAAGATTCTATCCTTCTAGCCAACTCCATTAATTTTTTGCTTTGACACATATAGGCATTTATATTAATACTAGTGGCCTGTTGCATGAAGATTTGTGCAATAGTCCTTCCTTCCCCTGGCTGCCAGCACCGGTTTTCCTCTGGCACCTGGGACCCAGGCCTTTGGTCCGGCCGCAGCAGCAAGGCTTGGCTTCTCAGCTCCGGCTGCTCCCAGCCCCTCCTTTTTTTTTTTTTTTCCAGCTCGAGTGGAGGCCAGGGCTGGCTGGAAGCCTGGGTCACCCTTGCCTACCCAGGCCCCCAGCCCCTCCTTGAACAGAGCTCAGGGCAGGCTGGAAGCCAGGGTCGCCCCTGGTGACCCAGGCCCCCAACCACTCCTTGAGCGGAGCCTAGGCCCTCAGCCCCTCCTTGAGCGGAGCCCAGGGCGGGCTGCTTGAGCGGAGTCCAGGGCCAGCGGGAAGCTTGGCTTCCTCCGTCGCTGGGAGCAACCCAAGCCTCCTGCTTGCTCCAGCTCCATGGCTGCGGCCATCTTCAGTCATCTTCAGTCTTCGCTCTGTGCCTGCATATGCAAATTAACCACCATCTTTGTTGGGTTAATTTGCATAGTTGCTCTGATTGGCTGGTGGGTATAGCGGAGTGGCGGAGTGACAGTGACGGTTAATTTGCATGTTTCTCTTTTATTAGTGTAGATAATATATATGCATTTTGTTAGTTGTATTATCTCAAGGAAAAAGAAAATTCTTGCCTTCTCATGGTTTAGTGAAAGAGGTAGGTGGGTGAATAAACAACTATACAATACAATACACAACATTAATAATGATCAACAAAGCTTCTTGCCTATTACCATCTAACTAAGCTGCTCTTCCTAGCCAGGGAAAACATCCATAATTTAATGTAATAGGTTGAATGGTGTCCCCCAAAATTTCTGTCTACCCAGAACCTCAGGATGTGATCTTACTTGGCAATAGGGTCCTTGCAGATGCACTTAAGAATCAAGATGAGATGGTACTGGATTAGGATAGTGGTAAGGAAAATATGAGTGTCTTATACGAGACAGAAAAGGACCCACAGAGATAAAGAGAAGGCCGTGTGAAGATGGAAGCAAAGATTGTACTTATGAGGCCACAAGGCAAGGAACACCTGGAGCCACCAGCAGTGAGAAGAGGCCGGGAAGGATTCTCCCCTAGGGCCTTGGCAGCGAGTGTGGCCCTGCTGACACCTTGATTTCAGACTTCTGGCCTCCTGAGAGATGTGTTTCTGTCGGTTTAAGCCACCCATTTGTGGTGATTTGTTACAGCAGCCCCAGGAAACTAATCCATTTAGCAAGGTAACAATTATAGGAGAGGGGCATGATTTTTATTTCTTTTTAAAACAACTTCAATTCCTGGTTACATGGGCTTAAAAACCTGTTTTTCCCATACCGCTGAACTTACTGTGTCTATATTTTCAATGGAAAAAATAATCTTCCTATAACACTCATAATCAGCACAAATACCATCTTCTTTTACATTAGTGAAATTATAGGTTTCCCCCTCTGAAAATTTCACAGCATTAAACTCAAGCAATGGCAATAGAATAGGCTTTTACTAACATCAAATGTTAAGAGTACCATTTTTTTAAAATCCCTCATTTTCACTATCAAACAAGTGTGAATATGTTTGAAAAAATAAAACATGAAAAGGCATGTTATAATAATTTTTTTCAAACTAGGAAGAAAAAGAATTTATCCATTCAAATTATTATTATCTGCCACTACTGATCATTACTACTGAGTTTGAAAAGTAAATACCTAGGAAGCTGGGGAGCGGGCCCAGGATGATGAACGCTTGCAGAATTTACAGCCCTATGGGCAAGACAAAGGCCTTGTCTTTGCCAACCATGACCTTAGAGCAGCAACCACTTTTCTCCCTTGTAGGATTACAACATCCAGCATCATGTTAAAATTTAACATTATTATCTCAGCCAGAGGGAGTGGTAGCCACACAACCAACCAAAATATTTTAGATAGTTATTGTCCTCCAAACCACTGCAGTATTATGAAATTTATGTGCTGAAATTTTTTTTGTTTCAATAAAATACTGGGAATATGGGTAAATTAGAAATTAATTTGCACAATGCATAGAACTGGTGAGTCTAAAGGGCTCAAAAGTCTACTTTGTTCCTGGCAAAACACAAAAACACAAGAAAAATAGGCAAACCATACTTTCTCCCTGTGCATCCTGACTCTTCACAAAAGTCAGGCAAAGATGGAAAGAACCTTCTCCATACCCAGACAAGAATATGTTTCACATTAACTAGAAAAGGATTCCACACCAGGCAAGGCCTGCTTTCATATCTCTCTGTGTGCATCTCAGTGCTTTAAAAAGTCAGACACTAAAGACATATTCCCAATCACTACCTTCCATTTTTCCCCTACACTGCAGGAGACTGAAGATGCTGAAACTCCCGATACTTTTAACATCACAAGAGCCCTGACTGGTGTGGCTCAGTTGGCTGGGCGTAGTCCCATGTGCAAAACAAAAGGTCACAGGTTCAATCCAGTTAGGGCACATGCCCAGGTTTCAGGCTCCATCCCCAGTAGGGGGCGCAGGAGGCAGCTGATTGACGTTTGTCCCTCACATCAATATTTCTCTCTTCCTTCCTCTCTAAAATCAGGAAAATTTGTGTTTTTTAATACTTCAAAAAATATTTTTAAAAAGAAAGAATAAAAAACAGAAGAACCAAGTTAAGCCAGTTCTCTGTCAAAGAAGCCACTCTGTTGGCCAAGGCTAAATCTGAACATCTCACCAAAGTTTTAGAACATGCACTTCAGTTTTCTAAACTGTTCTAGAATACTTCGGTTTTTAGCAATATTCTGAATTTCTCAGAAAAGAGAATTACTGTCTAGGTTTTTCCATATATATT